TGCCTAACTCAGCGCCACAATGCATGAACTTTGTCAATATTATAGTGTTTAGGTATCATCGAGGTACATGTTCATTACTGTAACATCACATTTGATAGACCCTAAGTTATTTTATGTGTATTAAGTATAAATAATTTTCTTTTTATTTTATTAAGGACTAGTCGGTTGATGATCATCTTTTATTTGTCCAAAATAGTAAAGGAGTGGAAGTTTGGAGAGGAAAGTGAATTTTCTTAAGGGAATTCAATCCAAGAAGCATGAGTTGTTGGAATTCATTGTAAAACATTGTCCTATATATAATTTTCCCACCTAAAGTCTTGTAACTTTGTATGATGTTTATAATGGGATATGTTTTGAGAGAAATTATTTTTATGGCTAGTTAATTATCATATTTTAGGCTTATCTCTCTCTCTCTCTCTCTCTCTCTCTCTCTCTCTCTCTCTCTCTCTCTCCCCCACACACACTTCTCTCCCCTTTCATTCTGGCAAGGTATACATTATGGGGGAAGACTAGGAGAAAGGTTTAAGTGAAATGAATTTAGATGTTTTATTATTTTAAAAATAACTATTTTGAGTTATTATCATGGATCTTGCTTTCCCAACATATCAGTGCTTCTAGGGAATATTCCAAGTTCCCCTGGAATGTTCTCATATGAGATCCGATGTCTCAAAGCTCACTCAAAACCTAATTTTTTGCCAAAAAAAAAAAATTTGAGAGCTCGGCTTAGGGGCACTGCCAACCATGGTGCAATAGTGTTTGTAGAGATATTTTAAATATGGAACCTGGGTAATTACATGTTATCTCCCATATATACTTTCCCTATATCACCTTAAGGGTAGTTCTTATAGACCTCCTTATTTGGGATTGCATGAAATAAAGCACCTATATCTAAAACCAAAGATTAATAATTATCCAGAGACAAAATTAGATAATTACTATAAATTATATATATATATATATATTTAATAAGGATCTTTTAACTTGACATCGACTACTAGCTTTCATTGGAATAGTCTAGGCTATCTTTAAGTGGCCCTTCTTTCCAAAGTTTCAGCTCATAACTTTAAGTTGACTTGAAGTAGATTTTCCTCTCCAAGATTTAGAGATCTTCCTCTTCTTATATTTTTGTTTGAGTTCTTTCTAGTTTTAATATTCATAATAATATTAAAAGATTCACCATTCACCTTCCTATAAACATCTTCATTCAGTACTAACCCAACAAATATACTCAAAGTTTAACTTTGAACTCCCTAAATAATTACTTGTAGCAGTAACTATCCCATCCCAACTTTCTGACAATAAAGATAATAGAAGTAAAGCTCTCATCTCGTTATCAAACTTGATGCCAATAGAGCATAACTCACTCATCACAATATTCAAATTATTCAAATGTTCTACCATTGAACTATTGTCTACTATCTTCATATTGAATAATTTCTTCAACAAGAAATCTTTGTTTGAGATCGAAGACTTCTTAAATATGGTGCAACTATTCGATTGAATATAGTCTTCTTATTAATAATGTAGGAAGCGACATATGAGAAAAGCAAAAGTTAAATCAAAATAGCTGGTGTTTTCATATCAAGTACCTCCAATTCCTCCATAGTCATCGATTTGGATTCTTTTATATTTCATCCAATAGCAAATACAATTTCTTTAGCTTGCATCTTCCAAAAAGTGAAGTTCAAACCATTAAACTTATCAATCTTGTATCTAGTTCGGTCAGTCATTATTCCAACTCGAACGTAAGAATGTGGCTTTGATACAAATACTTGGCAAATAAAATCACTCAACAAAACAAATAAGAAAAATTAAAGTTCAGTGAAGAAGAAAGAACACTATTGTTTAAAGTGGAAAAATCCAAAAAAGGAAAAATAAAAAAAACTAGGAGCCACACCACTTTAAGAAACCCAACATGAAAATTGGGAGAAATAATACAATTTCAATGACTAGCAACACAATGAAGCTGAGGTTTGGAGCTTCATAATGCTACACTCTTTGTGTCTAGTCTGATTGGCAACATCATGACATTGGCGGTTTGAGCACCGTAATGCTCAACTACTTTTCTCCCTGAAGCGTTGCAACGCTCCAACATGTAAAATCATAATGTTGTATAGTTGTACTGATAGAAAAAAAAAAAATTGAGGGCTTTTCCCTTAAACCCCCGACTAAGGGGATGTGACCCCTCTGCAACTCCTATCAAGTTCCTCGTCAAGCTCAGCTTATGGAATAGATATTCGAGTCAACAGTATAACATATTTGATTGATACAATGAGATTTCATGCAAAACTAACAAGAATGGAAAAAATTCTTAAGGAGATCCAAAAATATATATAGATTAGAAAATCTTTAAAGGCCTTATTATTGAAAGGATAGCTGAAAGCAGCTTTAAGTTCCTTCTGAGGAAAACCTCCAAAGGAAGTATGGGTAGATTTAGCAAGGGATCCCCGGGGCCATGGGTCCCATTGCCTGTTCCACTTATATCTAATTAAGGCTTATTTATGGCCCTTTAATTACTGACTAATGCAAATTAATACCCAAGTTTCTTTTAGCTCTTCCAAAGGGTGTCTATTCTTTCACGCGTACAGACTGAATGCACTATTTCACTGTTGTTGTAATATCTAATGCAAAAATCAAAAAAATATTTATAAAGTTTTATTACATAATCTATATTATTTTATTTTGGAACCATATCACATGTGGAACCTCTTTTAGCATAGGCTGCATAGCTATGGAAAAAAAAAACATTAGTATTGATGTGTTAATCGTAGAATTATGAACTATAATTGTTATATTGTAGCCAAGCATCTGAGCTTTTTTCCAAGATTTTGTGCATCTTCGAACTACTGATTTTGTCCATGTTTGATAACTTATTTTTCTATTTTTATAACGTCATCCCACTCCAGTTCCTCGTGTTTTATCTCTGTAAAATTTCATAAATTTTAACTTCTAGTTACTTTCATTGGATAAAATAATTCAAGGATTCCATTTATCAATTGTTTTAACTTTTTGTTGTAATGTCTCACCGAAACAATGCATCTAAATTATGAGTATTAAATATTTAGTGTGAGAGAGAGAGAGAGAGAATAGCTTATTTCAAATGTTCTATTCTTTATTAATGAATGTTTGAGCGGTCATTAGATCAACTGAAAATTTTATCAACTCTTTGAAAAAATTTCATTAATAAGATGCCTATAAAGAATAGAAACATTTCTTTTGAATATTCAGTGTGGCATTACAAAGTGCATGTATCCATATTTGTTATCATGATTCATTATTTCAATGGCATCTACAATAAAAAACCTCAACTATGAAGGCCATGAACGGCATCTACCATACAAAACCTCAGCTATGCAGAAGGCCTCGAACTTTTAACAGACAAAAAAATGATGAGAGGCCTTCCTTGCATAAGCCAAACAATCAAACATACGATGGATTTTTACTAAAAAAAACCTAACAAAAGCCTTTTAAAAGAGTCAATTTCAAGTCCAAAAGCCATTAATTTGAGCTCTAACTTTAGAAAAAAAATGACATACAGAATTTTCGTCATTAAACAATTTTGTAGAAGCGGTTCTCTTTCAAATTGATACTTTCCTATCATATTTTTATGTACTTTACAATGAATAGTAGTACAAATTTATTTATTTTCTTATCGTCTCCTTAATCTACTATTCTTAAAAATTATCATAATTATTATTAGCACATCTGCTTCACTTGCTGCTAATCAGTTCATTTAACTTCTTAATGTCCCTGCAGAACTCCGGTGCTAGAACAGACCAAGGCTTGGTTTAGGATGACTTTCTTACTATTTTTTAAAACAATTTTTTAATAAAAAATTATTTTTTGTTCTAATAAGTTATTTAAAAAAACGTCCCAAATGAAGCCTAATACTATGGAGCATGTGCCTCATGGCCTTACAAAATACTTCAAATAAATACTTAATTCTTAATTAGATTGCCAATAAGATGATGATTATGAGAGTTGCATTAATGTTATACAATGCCTAATTGCTTCTTATTCTATAGGCGAAGATTGAACAAACATTGCAATTCACTTATCGACGGTGACAAATCTTAAATTTTTGTCTTAAATCCACACAAAATTAAAGTCTTGCTTGGGGCACAGGAACCTCATCCTCTTCCTTACTCTGTCGGTTGGTATATTAAGACATCCTACAGATCTGTGTGATTTTTTACTTACGAGCATCATTGAAATTCTTTTAGATCGAATTTAGTTATATGACTTTGCAACTATTTGAGATAATTTTTTTACTATTTTGTATTTTTCTGATAGCAATCGTAATTTTATTTTGCTACTATTTTTTAAAATATTTCCCAGAGTAATTCTCCTTCTAGTTCACAGATATGATCAACATCTAAAAGCAATGCTTCAACAGCTTCTCTAACCTTTCTCATATTGGTGTTAACACCACAAATTCGTACCAATTAGCAAAAAACTCCGAAATCCTAGCTTTGTTATACTCTTACTAAATTTTATCTCAATCTGAGACCTCCTGCACTGCAAATATGTGTTGTATTTAATAAGATTCTAAGTAGAACTTATAAATATCCACATCATAAATTTAAGACAGCATATTTTTAAAAGGTAGAACGAATTTATTGATAATTTCTCGCATAACATACCATTTGTTTAAATAATCAATCAGACGATCTTAATAGCTTATCGGTAAGGCAGCCAAAAGATTAATAAAAGAAGGATAAAAAGGATTACAATAAGACAAACATAATTATTCCGAGGGAGCTAATCACATTTTCATAGGTTAAGAAAAACAAAGAGACCAAGTTGGCCATGCAAATTCTACATATTCAATTGGCATCACTCAACTGCTTAATGCCACCCACCTCCTGCCCCTCCACCGCCACCGCCGCCACCTGCACCTCCTCCAAAAGCCCCACCAGCC